GAACAATTCCAGTTCGATCGAGCGTTTCCCTGTAGGAGGACAAGGAAAATACAGCAGCACTGAGAATCACCGCTCCTGCCTGTTTGCTTATTCTGGATCTCAAGGCGCTCACGCTCCAGATCTGCTACCTGCGTTAGCCACCATCAGAATAACACAGCGTGCTCTTGTGAAGGAACTCAACTACACTAAGCCACGAGAAAAAGCACTCCCTGCCTCCCTTCCAGACGAGCTGCACCCTCTTCAAAGGATTTCCTCAAATCATAATGCTCAGTGCCTCAGGCACCCGCGGGGATTCAGTCCATCAAATATTTAGTTGAATTTAGGTAACGGAATGTCAAACAACTCTTCCCGCTATGGAAAAACATGTCAGATCGCAGAGCTACAAACCGGGATTTGTCACTTCGGCGCGTCGCTTTCGGAGCTGAATAATTCACGCCTACTCCTCCGGCGCAGCAAAACAACCCACCCTGTCAGCGTGACTGTGCCTTTATCACACCCAGACGCGTTTCACCACACCACAGAAAGATTAATTCTCAATTTAAGGCTCACAGGGACCTCAGTCAGATCGCATGCCCTCCCTGGCATTCGCTCCAAAGACACTTGGAGCAGTCAACGTCTCATGGATCCTCCGAGTTGCAGCTGCACACCCAGAACAGGCAGCCAGGTGGTAAAATCCTATCACGGGGAGTTAAGTTGTTGCTGATCTCTTTCTGCCTAATACAGACCTAATTCTTCAGCCTCTATCAATAGATCGCTAATGCGGGGAAGATGCCAACGCCACCCTGTGCCCTGTCACCAGCCGGGCAGTGACCACGGGGAGCTTGAGATGTCCCAACACCCCCCAGACACAGCGAGCAGGGCTGGAGACGGGCGAGTCCGCAGCCGTTCAAACCACGCGACTCGCCTCAAATTTTCTAAATACCTGAAATATTTCACCTTCCGCTATCGTAGCTCCAAGAAGCGACTGTAGGAAGTGCCCTGCAGCGATCACAGGTCAAACCCACCCTCATCTACTCGGTGGCACTGCACCCAGTGCCCCCTCCCCGAGGGCCAGCCTCTGGCTCTCAAAAGAGCCAGAAGACCCCTGCCCATATTCCCACCCAGTGCCTCATGGAAACACAAGCCAGAAGAGGTCCTGAGCCTCTTTCAGCCCAGCTGCTCAGCACCCAGGCATCCCAGGGAGTTACCTTCTTGCGGCGCGAGCCCGTCTTGCTCATGCAGGACCTCTCCAGGGACAGGTAGCCCCCAATCACTTCGATCTCGTTCACTGTGGGGTAGCGCTTTTTATGGGATGGCCCCACCTGGGGCCCGTCAGCGTTCTCCACGGCTTTGCCTTTTCCTTTGCTCTCCTCCTCCTCCTCTTCTTCCTCCCGCTGTGGCCTTCCACTGGCATCAGTGAGAGTCTGCAGCCCCGCGGCAACGGGCTTCCTTTTGGGCACGACAGTGAAGGTGCTGCCTCCCCGCTGATGGGGGACAGAGTGTGGTCTGTAGAGGGGCACGGAAGAAAACTCCATCTCCAGGTCAGGGCCAGCTCCTCCAGGCTGATCCGCCAAGCTCCCCGTCCTCGCAGCAAAGCTGGCCCTGGGGGAAAGCTCCCCACTCTCCGGCTCCACAATGTCATCGATGTAAGTCACAGGTACCAACGGATCCAGAGGCACCGTCGAGGAAGTGACGGGCTCTTCCTGCTCCGGAGCGGAAGCCCTTGGAGGCTCCTTCGGTGCCTTCTCCTCCAAGGACGGCGGCCCCGGCCTGGCACTCTGGGCCGGGAGCAGAGCTGGGCCACCCTCACGGCGGGGCACGAAGAGGAAGGAATTGCGTGAATTCAGGCGCAGCTT